TATTATTACAAAATAAATTAAAAGAAAAAACTTACCTAATATTAAAAAAGATACTTATGACAAATTTAGTAATGACAGATAACCCAAGTCTGTCAACAAAATTTAGTTTTCTACAAATTACTGAAATTTGTGCATATTGAAAGACCGTACAAAGTTTGAAAATAAATACTCATATACTTTTCGAGTTATTCGTAATTCAATTTGGATCATTGCGTCGAGGCGGGAAAACGCTGCCAGGAGAGCTAAGGTTGTCGCCCACTAGACCGTTGCGCGGCGCGGCGCTGGGAAGAGAATTTTTTCCGGCTGCGAAGGAACTGCGCCCACTATAGCGCGCTTTTGAAACGCGGCAACGCTATTTAGTTATAGTCGAAGTGTTTTTTACTTACTGTAGTTTCGTTTTTAAAAACATGAGTTCAAATACGGACGAAAGCGTATTTTTTGCTCTTCTAACAGAGGAAGAGGAAGAGGGGGTGAGGAATAGTTTGGACTCATACGATTAACAAAAAAAGAATGGAGAATTTTACCATCTTTTCCAGATTTGAAAGAAATAAAGACAAGATCATTTTTTTTCAGTACAAATATAAGAAGAGCATTTTACGCACTCCTCAATTGGGGGTTTTAGAAGCAAAACACCGGGTATCTCTACTCATCATATTTTATCAGAAGGGCTAATTACTAATACTTTTGATAATTCTTATTTATTCTGATGTGTATATTAGTTATGTGGTGAAAAACCCTGATCTTTTTATATATTTGAACAGTGGGCGTTTAAAACTTGGAGATTGTCACTTTTGTTAAAAAGTGGAGATTGCCGGTTTTGCCTCTACTCCCCTCAATTATATTAAATCTTTGATAGAAAGGCATTTCATCCATCTGTCTCTAGTGAGGGAAGACTAAAAAAATATCATATTCCTTTATGAAAATCTGTTTGCCTAATTTACCTTTAAAAATGCAATTCTGCCATTAATACATATCACTAGTTCCTAGTCAAAAAGCCAACTGAAAAGACTCGAATGCAACATTATTTCCCTTGTGAGTACGCACACTGCAACGCGCCGAAACGCGGGAGACAGAAAAAAGTTGCTAGAGAAGTCTTCCGACTTCTTGACGGAAATCCCGCGGCGCGCTTCTGCGCTGCGCGCTCTAATGTGCGTTGGTCCATTTAAATACATGGCAAGCAGACAAAAGAAATTTCGCGCTGCGGTCTAGTGGGCGACAACCTTTACCAGAGACATAACAAACAGATCCGTTGCGCCGTTTTCTTGCATCCCTGTCTAGATTTAATTAGATTAGATACATAGTTGTAGTCAAGTTATATCTGTACTACAAGTTACGCCACTGTATTCAGAATAATTTGTACCGATTCTGTTTTACGCTTAGTCATAAACGACCCGTCAATTATTATTAGTCGATGGAAAGTCCTTATTGTAAAATTATATAGCATTTGTTCAGACACGTTTGTATTTTACGCCAACAAAAGATCTACTAGGTACAGTTTTAACACTTAATCACACTTTTTAATTCAATTCAGTTCCAAGATGTCGCGTTTTACTCTACTTTTCAACACGCACTTTACTTTTTACCTCTCTAAGTTCCAGACAGTTCAGAGTCGGCAATTTTTATATCAAATTTTACTTTTAAAACTAATTGTTTAAGTTTTCCTTATATATTATATATTTTCCTTATATATCCATATATATTTACGTTTATAGTAAAGTTTCTTGACTCATTTAAAATATGTTTTTGCAAATTTCTTCCTCTTTTCATGGTTGGCGTATCAAATTTTTTGGAAACGCCCATAATTTGTGTTACCAAACTACCATTTGTTTTTTTGCATTTAGCAGCCTCATATAGTTTTGAAGCGGTTAGGCGACCATAACGAAGCTCAAACCATAACGAATCCTCACTTTGCGTATGGCTTAGTTTGCTGGCATTTTTAATGTTTTCTGTGGTAATAGAATTTTTGCAATACTCAATAAAATAATCTGCCGTTGGGTTTACACCATTTCTAATACAATTTTGTAGTAAGTGATGGACAGACAACTTCTTGCTACCACTTAAGGGACTGTTATGTAAAACCAAAGGACGCACATATTGCGTTTGTGTTTCAATCATTTTTAAAACATCGTTTAGAAAGCCGTTGCTACTTGGAATATCAGCAATAGTATTTTTTAAACTTCTTCCAATACTTGCGCACTTGATTAATTTAATATTGGATCCCATTTGGGACAAAATGGGTTTTTTCCAATAACAAGCAACGGTGGTAGGTGCAGGTTCTTCTGCTCGACGATGTAGCTACATCAGAAAAGCCATAGCATGTTTGCATCCCCCAGCAGCTGCTGCACAATCAAGGCATTTGACTTCTTCAACTATTTCCGTGTCTTCATTAATGATAGCTCTAACTGAGTATGGCTTTATCCTGACTTTATGTTCGGGACATATTCTGGCTTTCACAATACATCTACTACCCTGCCGTTTAATCTGAACGTACCCTACAGCTGAATCGCCATAGCTTTACCGTGCTGACCTGTAAAAATACATATCATCGTTTAAAAACATAAAGTATATGATACATCTGCTATATAGTTTTAAATAATCTTGTTACCTTAGTTTCTTATGTTTAAAAAGAATCATAAGTATTTCCCAAAGTTGTAGTTTTGTATGTATAATATTGTTATATTTTTATACATAAAAAACACTTTTGGAAATACTTATGATAAAAAAATATTTTTTTAACATAATAAATATTTATCGGCTTAAAAAAATACAAAAATTAAATAACAAAGTAAACAACATAATCAAACTAAACAACTTATTCACGCACTTACCGACTAGCTTTAACACCACTGGATTCAACTTGGTTATAATCAGTATTCAGCGCGAGAAAGTCGAATACCATATTGACATCTACTTGCGGTAAATTATGTGAATCTCCTTTCTGGAAACCCTCCTCCATATTTAGCAACAAAAACAACTTCTTTTACGGTATTCAACAACAAAAATAATAATGTAACTGCTGTAAATGTCGACTGTACTTCAATACCTTGTACATGGAGTGTCACAGTCAAACTGAATCACGGTCTTGCCGTCGCAAGCGGAGCAGCGTGCGATGGGCATGTGACGTCAGGCCAATGAGAGCGCGTTTATTTAATTTGAACGGAGCGCATAACTTCAAGAGTCTCTCTTGTCAAAGGAGTTTATTTTTTTGAAAAAAAAAAGTTTTTTAATAGGTATTATAATACTAAAACATTAATTTTTTACCACTTTTAGTGCAAATTTTTTTTTAGTGAACAGACCTACTGTGACAGTTCTCTTTTTCTATACCCACTTAACTAAAATACACTTCACTGTGCTGCTTTACTTGTATACAAAATAACAGTCCCCATTTCTAACACATTATTTATATAGGTATAGGCTTTATCATAATTTGAACCAATGATTTACAAAACATTTTGAAAAGCGCATATTACTTTGAATACCTACCTGAATGAATAAATGTTGAGAATTATTGCCTCTTATCGCCACGAACTATTTTTAATCTCAGAAAATACATGTTTCACTCAACAATTTTAAATACATATTTAGTTTTTTTCACTATCTTTTCGATGTATTTCTGATGTATTGCGATTTATTGAATGGCTCCATCGAAAACCCAATCGTCCGCCAAGAGTGCCACGTGCCAACGAGTTCTTTAAAGCGACGCTACCGTAGCTAAAGAATTTTAAGTTCAAGACATTCGAAGTAAGAAAATAAAACAGAGAAACACGAAAGGAAACAAACAAAATGGTTGAATCCAAAGCAATCAAAACACGCTTGTCGAGACAGTTGCCTAACTTAAAGGGTATGCATATGGCATAATTGTTATTAGTGTTTTATTTTGCTCTGTATTTCAAAGGTATCTAAAAATATTAGATTAAATTGAGTAAATATTAATCAAAATTTGAATTAAAATTAGCGAATTTATTAACACATTTAGATAAAATATTAAAATTAACATTCTTAATTTTTAGCCGACCATACCAATAGGTATGGTAGGCTATTAGGATCGGCAAAAAAAAGTTTTTTTCATTTCACTCAAAATGAGTTACTTGGGTCATAAATGACCTAAGTACAAAATATTTTCATGGTGTCTGTCTGTCTGTCTGTCCGTCTGTCCGTCTGTAACACAATAATTGAAAAACCGCTGAACCGATTTTAACCAAATTTGGCACAAAAATACTGTGGCACCCGAGAATCTGGCCATTAGTTTTTGGTGGGGGTGGGGGGTTGGTAAGGGGGTATGGGAGGGGGTTAAAAATTAAAAAAAATCGTAACTCCAAAATTACAGTTGCTAGCGAAACGCGGTTTTCAAATTAAGATTAGGAATAATATTTGCAACAAAATTTGTAATAACACCAAAATCAGTCAAAGTCGCAGTTTTCGAGATATTAACATATTTTAGTATGGGCGGCTAAACGTGCCTCCTGGCGCCAATTTTTTGTGTAGAAATTTAAAATTGCTGTGAATTTATAAATATAGAAATTTGTAGAATGTAGATAACGTAGAAGGTGGCAACACTGCAAGGTTTAGTTACACCCTTAGATAAATCTCAGGTGGTTAGGTAATTTAGGTAATAAAAAAGTGGCACTAAAAAGTTTTTAAAATTCCGCGGAAAATGCCAAGAAAAATTTAAAATTTTCAACAATTTTTTTTTGCAAAAAAACTTATAGGCGTGTTTCTGGGGTCGAAATATACTACCAGTTAAAATATCTGCACTTATTTCTGAGACACCCTGTACATTCAAATATTTTTCAAGAACTTGATTGTTCCTATTTTTCTTCTGTAGAAAGAAGAATAACTTTTCTAGTCAAAATTTAGAAGCACATACGTGAATAAGCACATATCGTGAATCATTTGATGAAAAAAAAATCATCAAACAAACTTATTGTTCCTTCTTTTAAAGTTTGGTGTTTTTAAATGTAATACGCATATCTAATTATCTGTTTTTTTTTTCAGGTTGTGCTTTTGGACAAATATCAAACAACTTAGATTTAGACACATCTAAGCTATCAAAAGATATGGAAACAAATTTAAAGGATCTGGGAAAGACATTTCAAGAAAATGGTGTTAACTTACCAGAATTAAATGTGACAAGCGTGAATGTAGAAAAGGTGGAACAAGTTTTAAGAGAAAAATGTGAAAAACAAGGCGCTGGAGATGTTGTAGACTCGATTAAGGTAAAACTTAACTAAATTATATTTCTATTTCTAGAATACAGAAACTGAGAACGCTATCGATATACAAAATTGCATTATAAAAATATTGTCTAAAGAAAATATTTAAGAACTTCAAACAATGGAAAGAACAATTTTGTATTATCTTTTATAATGATATTTGATAAAAATAATGGATTCTTGAAAAAAATCCTGAGTATTTCGCTAGTTATCAGCGGCGAAGATTGACGTTTTTATTTAAAAAATCACGAGATCTCCTATAATAAATTGAAATTCTCGGTAAATTTATTCAAATAATTAAATTCAACTTCAATCATTTAATGTGTGTATTAGGGTAGGTCAAAAAATCGACTTTTTTTTCACTTTAAAAGCTACCTAAATTGGAATTTACCCGGTATAGACTAATATGTAGTTAAATTAACTATTGTACTTTAAATCAAATTAAAACTTGATCCAAAAAGTTGTACAAGGTGAGACAAAATTAATATTAAACATTGGTCGCCTTTAAAAGCATGTTACTCTTTTATTTTAAATGGAACACCCCGTATATTATTCCGATATTCAATGGAGAATTCATGTCTCTTCAAAATACTATTAAAGTTGCCTACTCCTCAAACAAAGATTTTCCTAGATATTTTCATTTACTTGATTTGATCTGAGTGATCTTTATTATTTGATAAAATCTAGGTGGCTGCGATATGTCTGACGTTACTTCAACATAGCTGTCTAATTAGTCCAACTTTAACAACTAATTATAATTTTGTATCAGTTAAAACAAAAAAAAAATTTAAAAATACTTAAGTGCTCCTGATTTTATCTAGTCCGGGTGGTTTTACGGTTTTACGGTATACAGAAAAGTCAACAGACTTCGAGACATAGAAAAATCAAGTCCATTTAGCGTGTGTCTAAATTTTGACAAGTTTTCAAAAATGACAGTTTTGTTTAGACTGGCGTTTAATTTCATTTTATTTAAACTTAGCTTTATTTTTTTCCTAGAATGCGAAAATAAATTAATATATAGGGTGTTCCATTAGAAAAAACACAACTTTGATATGTAACTTTTTTTGGAGACACCCGGTATAATTCTATATATTTTATAAAATGCTTTCAGTTAACCTATATATGCTGCCAAAATTTCATTTTGATATAAACTACCGTTCTCCTTGGAGCTTCTACGGCGTATGAGAGGCGCCACCCTGTTACATGTATTCATAAAATATCTAATAGTATGAATAAATTAATTTGTGTTATTTTTTTAAATAATAATTGTTTTATCAATACGTGCCTTGCTCTTCCAACATTAACAAATAATGGTTAAATTTGAAAATTTAATTACATATGTTAATATTTTCACTTCCTAAATTACCCTAAAATACTTATCATTGATAGGTTAAATTTATTTAGATTTTTTAAAACGTAAATAGGTCTATAATAATATTTTATAGAATTTTTTTGTTTTTAAATATTACTCTTAACAACCTGTGTTGCAATACACTTTCGTGTCCCCTTTCAGCAGAGATGTGGTAGCTTAGGGCTACGGAGTGTAGAGGTAAAGCGGCCCTCACACGATCAATAATATTGTCAATGTTTTTTATTGTCAATATTTTATCAATATTTGAAAGGTGACATGACACGGTCAATACACATATCAATATTTATATTTTACGTTTTGTGTCGATATTAAGTGTTAATATCGTGCCAACAAATGAACCATAAGAAAAAAGCATGTATTGCCCATCCATTTTGGCACATGTAAGTGAGAAAAAAAGTTAAAGAAGGCGTTCAGATAAAAAATGGATTTCAAAAGAAAAAGTTTGGTCACCTAAATCTTCTAGACTACGTTAAGAAACAGGACCCTGATGATTATAAAAATTACTTCAGAATGAATGGCAGGAAATATATGATCTATTGCTTCATTTGGTCAGTCCTTATATTACCAAAGAAAACACGAATATGTGGGAAGCTATACCTGCAACTGAAAGATTAGCCGTCACACTTAGATTTTTTGGCAACAGGAAGATCCTTTGAGGACTTAAAATTTTCAACAATAATTTCACCAACAACCATTAGTGAAATAGTTATGGAGACTTGTGAAGCCATAATTCGAGTTTTAAAGGACTACATCAAAGGTTAGTAAGTTTAAAATACAATAATTTGTAACTTTTTATTAGGTATGTGCGTAGTAAGTAACATGTTCTGGCAGTACTAGATATTCTTCATCATGTTCTTGCTGTGTGAGTGGTGACTGCAGTGGGTGTTGAAACATAATTGGTAGCATAGAATTTCCCACGGTCAATGGATGATGTCCAACTATCGGCTGATAGTGGTCGTGAACCAGTTACTTCAGCCGCCACGTTAATTTTACTGAGTGACGATTTAGATTTCCTAGCGCTGCTTCAAAAAAATATCATTGATTGCTTTTCAGCAAAATAACCTTTGTTGGGGTGCTAAAGCTTTAGTTTGTTTGCCCAGACTTTAGCAATCTGACTTTCCTCTACATACTTTTCGTCCTCCGAAAGGTATTTGCATGCTAGTGCCAACAACTGTTTTGTTGTCTGGTGTTTTTGCCTGGGGTTTTGTTCTTTGATGTATGTAGATCTTCAGATGTAACCTGAAAAACAATAATATATTTTTACAGCTTCCAAAGAACTCAAGATGAATGGAGAAATATCGCACATTGTTAAATTTGGTAGAAAATGGAATTTACACTAACAGGACTTAAACATGGATTATTTAGAAACCCTACTAACAGAGCAAAGGAAATCAGAGATCTCTATCGAAATTATTTTAATCAAGAAGGACAAAGTAGATTGGCAACATACTGGTTATATAGATATTATATTATACTTTATTTTGAGGATTATTTCAACTATTTTTGTCGCAGTATTCGCATTTATATAAAGCGTTAGGTATAAGAATAGATATAATCCTTTTTAAAATAAAATAAACTAATAATAGGTACTTACCTCTATTGTTTCATTTATGGTTGATCTCGTTTTATCTGGCTTTTCTACATCTTTCAAAAAATTGAAGTTCCAAAAACAACCAAGACCAGAAGGTTCATATATGTCTGCACTTGCACTCCCTGTGCGTTGAGAGTCTTTTATTTTTTTAGTTCTTTTCGAAATTTGTTCTTAACGAATTGATTTTTTTTCACATCTTCTATTCCACACCATTTTTTTTAATTTTTTATAAATGTTTAATAATTTTTTATAACCTTCTTTTTGTCGCGGTTGGGTAGTGGTTGACGAAATATCCCATAGTTCTGGCATTTCACGATAACTATCTATAAAAATTTGTAATATTTCTCGTTCACTTTTGTTTCAATCTCAGATTCATCACACCGAAAACAACGACGGCGATGTTCTGTCTTCCGCCATGGTTACAAATAAGCCATATATTAAATAAACTAGTCAAATCTTGTCAATCATGCGAGCCTAACGGTCAATATATTGTCAATAATACTAAGCTCCGCCTTTATATTGACGAGTATTTTCAGGGACCCGAAAATCCATCAATATATTGAAAGTACATCAATATCTACGCTCAAACACTCAATAATATTGTCAATAATCCAAAATATTGACAATATTATTGATCGTGTGAGGGCCGCTTAAGGAGAAATAACTCTTATGGGACTTTTATTGAAAAAGTGGTCACAAAATGGAAAGAATAAGGGTTCGCCAAATAACCACAGTGGCGCTAAAAACGCATGAATCTAAAAAATGAACAGTAACCATAGATAAGAGAATAAAAATAAATATAACCAAACATTACCCAAAAAAATTTTGTTTTTATTTTTCAGACAGAGTTTTTGAATATAAAATAATTATTGTTTATCAATATTTTGTGCTTTATTTATAATTTAACAATGGTTAAAGTGTGTGTGGTGCGAAGTTGATTGAATAGTAATAGCTGATGGAAAAATAAAGAGCAAAGGCAAAGCCTACGGTATGTAAAATACATAATATAATTCAGTATTGTATTATTTGTATTATATGTAAAAATTAGAGTCAATCAAAAGTGTAGTAAACATTTTTCGTAAGATTATTGACATACATGTTACAAAGTATATTTTTACAATCCTTTTTATAAAGTTACAACCTAAATAAAATTTATTTTCAATGATTTTAAAGTTTGACAGACATGCACAAATTGTTGGCATTTTTTTTAAACAAGTAAAAGTAGGAAATACATAAAATTGTAGGTACTTTCAAGAAATATAGTTAACTGTAAGTGCTGTATTTTAATAATCTATCAAAAAATCAAAATCATCAGGATAATGGGTATTGATTTTCAGACAAGAATTAGATTACAGTGATGGTCAAAAGCATTTAGATATTGCTTTGAAATCTACAGATAAGGTATGGCAGTTTCATTTTAAAGAACAAGATGTTAAAGTTTGTGATAAAAATGAAATTGTCATCAGAAATACTGTCCACTTCAGTATTTACATAGGAAAATATTGGAGGATGAAGTTCTACCTACTGCCTCAGGTTAATTTAAATTCTGAATTGCAACAACAGCAACAAGCAAGAAGGGCACCATTAAATGAATATTATACACATAAGTATATTATTATACACAGAAAGAGTAATGTTATACACATAAATATTAACATTTTGTAGAGCAACAACACAATAAAAAACCAAAATATGAACACCAGCAACTAAAACAGGAACCATTAAATGAATATTATACACGTAAAGTACAATTTGATCGAATAAAAACGGCGTCAGCGATGCCTATGAAATGAAGATTGCTGTCATTTTATATGTAAAATGATATGGAGAATGTCATCGAGATGTTCATTTCAAGCCAACTGGACGCCGTGTTTTCGATCATACAGTATTATTATACACATAAATAATAATATATACATAAACATCCCTTGATAAAGATCAACATTTTGTAGAGCAATAACAGCATCAAATAATGGAAATAATGGACCCTACTGCTCAAATCAAAAACAAAATTTCAGCATGACTACTTTATTGGTTATA